TACGCAATTACATCACGTAGATGTGCAATAGAAGAAGAAGCCTTTTCGAACATTTCGGTACCTTCGAAAATCACCTTTAGTTTTTGAAAGGCTTTAGTAGGGGTATCTCTAAAATCAAAACGTTGAAGATCCTCAACGCTTGTGGCAGAAACCTGAAATATGAGTTAGCAAGTGCTTCCCTCTGAGAAATTAAAACTAATCATACTCCAACTAATGGTGATCTAAGTTCAGCTCTTATCTTCTGCCATGTCCATTGCTGTACATTAAGCTTACTTAATGTATCAGCAGCAGCTTGTCGTATACTAGGTTCGATGCGACAGAAGTCAAAGATTAGACCGAGTAAATCTGCATGATTGATGTGAAAGCACATTTGCGACGAAGGTAAGGACGGGAAGCTAGCAACGATCTCATCTAAAACTTTAATAACCTCAGCCTCCTTTAGCGCTAGATCTAAGCTGTCGGAAGTCACAACATCAAAATCCACTTCGCTAAATGTTTGTGGACATGCGCCGTCGTGCTTATCGCGAAAAACGGTACCAAAGGCAAAAGATCTTTCGACAGGAGGCTGGTGTTTCGCGATGGCGCGAGCATTTGGAACAGTGAGATCATAAGGCAGTTGCAGAAGAGTACCACTTTTGTCTAGCAATTGAACAGCGTTGACACCGTAATGATCCGAAGATGGGAACAGAATACTTCGAGGAGTTTCTACAGCTCCATGGTTACGAAAAATTGAGATCAACTTTTGCTTGACAAGCCCTTGTAGCAATAAGTCGTTACCACTAGGAGTCGGAACTCCCATGTCCCAAGCATAATCCTTTGCTTGTTTTGTTGGTCTAGAGAAGAGAGCACTCATCATCTTTTGATGATATGGTGATTTTGAATCAGACAGACCAGCTAAAGTTTGACGGATTGTTTCGCTTTCCATCTGAACTGGTAGTTTCCTGCTTTGAAGAAGTTCGGAACTTGAGGGTCGTTCTTTTGGATTATGGTTAAGGAGGGACAAGATAATATCTGCCTGGATAGCTTTTCCGATCTTGTCAAAATTCGCAGGGAATACTGGATCCTTCTTTCTTAGACCATCGATAACTTGAGCCTAGGCAGAGAGTTAGTATGGAATTGGCAGATTGTATGAGACATTAATCGTTTGCTTCTATTTGGACCCAGAAGTAAAAGCTGTAAAGCTAAATTACGAATATCGATCGCAAGGAAATATATGAGCAATGAACTTACTCTCTCCATCCCGACAAGCGGAGTATAGCACATCTCAAAAAAAATCACACCAAGAGAATACATATCGACCTTGCCAGTGTACGGCCCTCCAGAAACTGCTGATCGAATTTCGGGTGCAATATATGAGAAAGTGCCAATACTTCGTGTTAAATCCCCACTGTTCTGCATTCCAGATGCTGAAACCTTGTCGATTGCCGAGTATTGGCCCCTTGTGGCCAAACCTAGATCGCCTATCTTGACATTTGAAGCACCATCTATGAAAACATTCTCTGGTTTGAGATCGCGATGAACAAAATTCAAGCTATGAATGTGGGCAAGACCCTCAAGAATTTGACGAAAAACACGCCATATTTCCTCGTTATCTTTATATAGTCCTCGTCGAATAAGATCGCGAAGCGTTCGCTTCTCACAATATTCCATAGATATGTATAGAATCGTTTTGAATGGGCGTGGGGGTCTCGGACTAGATCTACTTTCCCTATGTGCCAAAGCAAGTCGTCCATGCCCTCGATTTCGAACATGTCCATTGGGTTCTGCGGAATACTCGTCGTCTTCATCATCATCGTCGGATTCTTCATCGCTATCCGTTGCCTCATCGTAACCGAATTCAATTTGGTATCCGCTGGTCGACATAAAGTCAAGCCCCCCTGTACTCGTCGCAAATTCGACATGGGGTCCAGATCCTCCAGGGGAGATATTACTGATAGATTCTTCTGTGGCAGCATCCGTTGTTGTGTTTTCATCGTCTGTTTCGGAAAGGTCTGGAACTTCTTCCGTCCATGTACTAAAGTAACCTAAGAGAGCGTAAGCACCATACCGGGTCAATGAAATACTATGATTGAAACGTCTTTCTCCTAATCCACTCCCTGGTAATTTAGAGGATCGAGAATTACATTGATATGACTTCCAACTTTGGCTCAAATATGTTGTGCTGTAGTAGAGAATACAAAAAACCCAGTACTCACGAACAACGGAAGGATGATTGAGCTGGGAGAGTAGGCGAGCCTCTTTTAGTACATCATCTAGCTGAGCAGACGACTTTTGGGTAATCTTTTTGATGGCATATATCTGTCCATCTAGTTTCTGTCTTGCTTTTACGACCTCCCCAAAACCTCCTTTTCCCAAGCGACCCTCTTCAACAAAATCATGAGCATATCTTGAAAAGGGTCCAGTGAGACTCATAGAATCATGTCGAGGTCTACGCGGTGTTATGGGTGCCAACGATGATGTTGATCCGATCCTCGACAATATGGCAGACGTATCTTCATCCATTATGGTAGCATCAGTAACAAGAAATTTACACGAACCTATTCAAATTAGTCAGGTTGGTTTACAGAAGATATGGAGATTCTACGAAAACCTAAAGCGAACAGGAGGAGCACTTACTGAGCGCGAAAGCTCGCGGCCGTTTCTTCGGATCTGGATTGAATAGTTTGAGCATAAAATCGTGTAAAGCGTCAGATAAGTCCAATGAGTCTAGCATAGCCTTTGGAGATGAGTATTTTCGAGTAACATTCAACCCAAAAGCCATCTGAAGGAAAACGATACCAAGCTCCCATATGTCAGTTTTCGCGGTTCGTAGGCCGTCCCCCAAGTTAGCAATTTCCGGAGGAAACCAGTACGCAGATTTTGCCATGGCAGAGCTATCAATTTTTCTTTTGGTGATCTTACCACTCAAAGCATGTAGCTTTCGTTGATATCCGGCATCAGCAAGTTTTGGCCTGACCACTCCATCTGATTCCCGGAAAAGAAGTACATTTCCACTGTGTATATCCTAGAACGAGGAGCATCAGTACTTGAAGAACACGGGAATATAACCAATTGTTTACCTCGTGAATAATTCCGTTTTCTTCGTGGAGGAATCTTAAAGCATCCAGTAGCTCTATAGTCCATGAACGAACTTTGTTGACATTCATGTTCTCAACGATATCCAGGAATTCTTCCAAGGATCCTTTCTCAGCATATTCGCTTAAGGTACTGACAGTCCAGGAAGAATCATTCCTGTGCGTCCCAAAATTAATCAACTTCAGCTACACAGAAAGCTCAATGAAACCATAGCAACAAAATAGTAGTGAAAAACTCACTCTTCTTTTTCTACCTTGAAATCCAGAAGATTAAGGATATTGTCATGTCTAATGCTCCTGAGCTTTTCTAATTCATTTTCCATCGCTTGCAATTGTCCCTTGACACTACGATCGCCCAAGTTCGTATCAAGCAACGTCTGCTTCAATACCAATAAAGGGGCGTGAGAGCTGACTGCGGGTCTTACAGTGTAGCAACGAGATACAGGACCTTGACGAATAAATGATTTACCAGTAACCGCCTGAAAGTATATCGGATTACCCTCAGCATCCAGAACTGAGACTTGGCGATCTAGTACCTCGTGATCATGAGTCATCTTTCCAATTCCAGAATTGGAGACGGTGATTGAAGGGGGAGGTTGATTTTTCCGCTTTGTCTCTTTTGCTTTGGCACGTTGTCTTTTCAATTCATCTTGCACCAAGGAGCCAAGCATTCTCTCTTCTTCCTGGGATTCCAACCTATCGTAAATTTAGCACTTTTGAGGGGTAATGATACTCTGAGATACCAAGAGCGATCAGCTGATCTCAAAGGGAGAAGAAAGAAAAGGAGATATACTAACATTTTTTTCTTCTCTTCTTCTAAACGCTGATCTTCAAGTATCTGAGCAGCAGCCGCTTCATGAGCAGCACGCTCTTCTTGTAAAGTGGGTAGTTCCCGTCCTGCAGCTTTCGCTTCAGCAGCTTGCTCTAATACATCCTGACAAGCAGTAACAATTTCCATGATCATGGCTTGTTCCTCCTTGACCAGTTCTTTAGGTAATGTCTCGATAATCTTCTGGAGCTTGAATTTAGTAGACTCCCGAAGACCGTCGGTATTTTTTAAAGTCAACAATGGCGCCGACTTGGGATAAGTCAGGGTCAGGGTGACTCCTAAAGTCACTGAGAAATCCTCGTCAGAAGTTTTGATAGATATTTCAAATGACGGTTCTGATTTCTGTACAAAATTAGATTTATGTCATGCATCAGTTGTGAAGAGAATTTACAAACCTTCCATGCTGATTGATGTGTTTCAATACGCCGAAAGTCATCACCGTATATTGAGGCGAGAGCAATCAACTCGTCATCTTGGGTCTCTTGATATGGAGATTTTGGTGAGTCATTTGCGACATCATTATTTTTCATTGAAGGAAACGTGGTTAAGGGCTTTTTCTGCTGTGCTTTCTTTCCCCATGGGTTATTTGCTGGAGGCATGATGGAAATTGGGTTATGGCGCTTATTTGATGTGGTATTGGTTTATATATTCCAATATCTGAATTCGTCGTTGAGATTCAAAAAGCAACAAATGCGTGCGGCCGAGGCCACAGCTATGCAGACATTATGGGTTTTCTCGAGTTTAATTATGTTAGAAAATTTATATGTCGTCCCAGTCACACTTTGCCTTCCTGCCGTCAAATATATATTTACATGATAAACACATGAGGCGAGGCAGGCAAGGCTGATTGACTAGCCTATCAAGTATGACTAACAACCTTGTCGTCATGTAGCGGCGCTAATCTGTTTGTAGCATGAGCTCCGTGGTCCGATCTTTGTATCGCACAAGGCTCAAAATTTCTAGTGAGTCAATTCCTTATCTGTTGAGAGTCCTTTTAGTATTGAAATACAGTGCTAGGTAGGCCAATTGATCTTTTTTGAATCAATTGAGTTATTATCGCCCTCGCAAGAAGATTTGTAGATCATTATCTTTACGCAATGGCTCTCAACGCATGTACGAAGCTCCCAGTAGCTCGATTGATCAGACCAACAGCTTCCTATCACCCCGCAATCAGTAGCATCCGATACTACTCTGCACCCCCCGAGAGCACGATACCGGCCGCAAAGCTGAAATACATTCCCACAAGTGGCACATACCCCAAAGGATTTTTAGTTTCTGGAACTCATGTAGGAGTTAAACCTACCAACAAATCTACGCCAGATCTTGCTTTCCTTGCCTCGGAGACACCATGTGCGGCTGCAGCTGTGTTCACAAAGAACAAATTCCAAGCAGCTCCAGTTACTGTGAGCAGGAAGATGCTACAAAGAAGGAATAATACTGGAATCCGTTCAGTCATTATCAATTCAGGATGCGCAAATGCTGTGACCGGAAAGGGTGGAATGGAAGATGCTGAGAAGATGGGTGCTGAAGCTGATAGATGTTTTGACACACCAAGTGATGGTAAAGGTGGGAGTTCAATAGTGATGAGCACTGGTGTAATTGGTCAAAGGTTCGAAGACCTACTTCTAACTCGTTTTCAATCTTAACTTCAATTAAACATTGACTAAACCTTTCATATCAGACTACCAATCCAGAAAATATTGCTCAAAATACCTACCGCATTTGATGGTCTAGGAAGCTCTCACGAGCATTGGTTGGCGACTGCAACCGCGATTTGTACCACCGACACGTTTCCAAAGCTCTTATCCCGAACATTTTCCTTACCCTCTTCCCCAGAAGTGGAATACAGGATGGCTGGTATGACAAAGGGTGCCGGAATGATTCACCCAAATATGGCTACTCTGTTAGGAATGATCGCAACAGATGCACCCATCGCACCTGCATTACTGCCTTCCCTTCTTACAAAAGCCGTTAACAAGTCATTCAATAGCATCTCTATTGATGGTGATACTTCTACGAATGACACGGTTGCTGTCTTGGCAAACGGAGCAGCTGGAGGACAAGAGGTCACTTCTGAATCTTCCGAAGATCATGCTGCATTCCAGAAAGTTCTGACTGAGTTCGCTACAGATCTTGCCAAGCTTGTAGTTCGCGATGGTGAAGGTGCCACCAAGTTTGTCACTATTCGTGTGACAGAGGCCCCATCAGAAATTGGAGCACGCAAAATTGCCAGCACGATCGCAAGATCTCCCTTAGTAAAGACTGCATTGTATGGTAAAGATGCCAACTGGGGCCGTATTCTCTGTGCTACTGGCTATTCCCAAATCTCTGAACCAGGCGAGCCCATAAATGAGGTTCCAGAAATCATTCCTGAGAAGACAAGTGTCTCATTCATTCCCTCAGATGGCTCACCAGAACTTAAGCTTCTGGTGAACGGAGAGCCAGAATCAGTGGACGAGGCTCGCGCTGCTGAAATCTTGGAACATGAAGATCTTGAAATCTTGATAAAACTTGGTGGTGGAAAGGAGGAGGCAGTGTACTGGACTTGTGATTTCAGGTAAGAACCTAACACCCACACTGACGAGAAAAAGACTAACTTCATATAGTCATGAATACGTCACAATCAATGGAGACTACAGAACATAAATGATGAAAACAACAAGTTCAATAACAGGAGAACTCAAAACTTATAATTTCTTCAGATGAACAAGTTTTGATTGTACATAGAAAAAAGGTGAAGGAGGACGCATAACAGTGAAAGCGCACCACAGGGAAAACATAGCGAGATGATAGAAATACCCAAGCTTGCATATCAAAAACCACTATAAAGAACCCAATTTAACCCTTACCTTGTGCATAAGTAAATTAGTTATACATGTCTTCTCGTGTCGCTCCAATCGATCCTCGAGATAACCATCCTGCCAGAGTCAGGCTGGTTAGAATTTCCGCCTCAATTCCTCAATTCTCACTGAAATTTCTGCAAGCAATCTGAGAAGGGGGCACATGCAATGCTAATCTCATTCTCTTCGCGTATGTACATCACAGACCATATTTCCATCTCACGCTCTTTCAACAGTCTGAGGGGTCCAGGCAGTAATCTTTGGTTTGACACTAAGAGGAAACATCAGCTCAAACGCACATACTTGACCGATAATTTGTGTATCAGCACTCACGTAGAATAAGTCTTGAAAGCAGCACGGCTCATGGTGAAAGTTGGTCTATGATCCGGTAACTGCCAAGGTTGTTTTTGCTGCAAGAGAAGATCTTCGGTTGGTGGCTTATCTACCATGTATGAGATCCATGCGTGCCATCCGGGCTCAATTTGACATCTACAGATAGTATGTTAGAACGAGACAACTCGGCGAGAGGCGCTGGATATTCCTTACGGGCTGAACTCGTCGTCCTTGTAGTCTACCCATCTTGTGCGTACTGTATGTTGGTGTAAGCGTAATCGGACTCGTAGATGGCATATTATGGCAGGTTCGTACGTGGTAATTCATCCTCCAGGTTCTCAAAATACTTGTTGCCATATCGATCCTTTGCGATGAAGGTTCCGGCCTTGGTATCACCTGTTTCCCATGAGCTTCAGTCTCTCAGCTATCTTTTCAAGCATTGAATACCTTGGTACTATATTTCAAAATCCATTCATCAGCATCGTTGTTCGCTTTGTGGTGGGCTCGTTATGAGGTGTACTTACGTGCATTTGATGAAGAGCATCCTATATTTTGATCAGCAATCTGGCAAGCGCATCTCGAGGGCCTTCATACCTTGATACCTGCTCTGCGCAGATTGCGCAAGGTCCGCAGAATTGTAGACATCTTGTTGAAGTTGCAATGGGTTTGCTCAATTGTTAACAATCAATGAAAGTTGACGTTCATGAAGTCGTCGCTCATTCGGCACGCCGCTTTTGCGCTAGCGATATCAAAACGATATCACTATCCTATCGGCTTCCCGAAATTTCAAATCTTCAACATCGCAAATCGAGGATTCATAGAGGAATTCCGAAACATACAGAAAGACATGATCGTTAGGACTATTACACGCTGTTCTCGCATTCGAAAGGCTCCCTCCTTTCAACCACCATTACAACGAATGAAACAGCGAGCACATTCGACATCTACAGGTTCTACTGCTACTACGCCCACAGCACCCTCTCCTGCTTCGATACTAGGCGCTTTTACAAATGAGTGCGATAAAATAGCTCCAAAATTTGAGGTGAATGGCTCGCAGATACGTATTTTACGGACGCCATCCGAGTTCTACGAGACGTTGAAGGTTGGCATATACAGCAATTGGACATTGGCGGATGGGACAGATGCTGATGGACGGATATAGAGCAAAATACTGGTAGCAGAGACACGAATTTTCTTATCGACTTTGTATATAGGAAAAACAGAACATGAATTAGTACATACAGATATTCTCCCAGTTTAATAGTATACATGAATAATAACTATGTGTAGATATCCACACTTCAGCAAGCTCTGCGTGCAAAACCGGGTTTGAAACTTAGTATTCTTACTGATGCCTTGAGAGGTACGAGAGAGTCTCCCAATGCGTCAAGTGCTTCACTTCTCGCCCCGCTGGTGTCGGAATTTGGTGCAGATAGGGTCGAGATTCGTATGTACCATACCCCGAATTTGAATGGATTAAGGAAAAAGTATATTCCCAAAAGAATTAATGAGGGATGGGGTTTGCAGCACATGAAGTTATATGGAGTGGATGATGAAATTATCATATCCGGGTATGTCATCAAACCCAATTTTGAGTAGGTTTGAATACTAATAGGACTTGAAAAGAGCAAATCTCTCCAGTGACTATTTCACAAATCGGCAAGATAGATATCATGTGTTTTCTTCTAAAGAAGTCACTCAGTATTTTTACAACATCCAGAATGCAGTCTCGAGTTTGAGCTTCTTGGTATCGCCAGACCCTCAACTTCCTGCTGGATACACACTTGAATGGCCCTCCTCAAATTCCTGTCCTTCTCCTCTAACAAACTCCCAAAAATACATTTCTCATGCATCATCCATTCTCACACCCTTGATTCAAGCTTCAACAACATCGAACTCGACATCCAGCAATTCTCAAGCTAACACAACAATCTATCCCATCTCCCAATTTACACCGTTGTTCCCTTCGACCTCCGACACATCCACCGAGCTTCCCCTTCTCACCCGCCTCCTTACCTTCCTCAATTCTCCCATCACTCCTTCGTCCTGGACTTTCACAGCCGGCTACTTCAATCCGTCGCCAACTCTTACATCCCTGCTCCTCCACACAACATCAAAAAATAACACCGTCCTAACCGCTTCCCCTCACGCCAATGGTTTCTACAATTCCCCTGGAGTCTCCGGCATGCTTCCCGCAGCTTACACCCTTCTCCTCCGCAAATTCCTCGTCGCAGCTCAGAAAATTCAGGGACCCTCTCCATCCATCACTCTACGAGAATGGAAAAGGGGAACTGTCAACGAGCCTGAAGGTTGGACGTATCACGCTAAGGGACTTTGGGTATCATTCCCCACCCAATCATCCTCCTTATCCTCAACCGAGACTCCCAAGCCAGCAATCACAGTACTGGGTAGTAGTAACTACACCAAACGATCCTATACATTAGATCTCGAAACAGGTGTCATGATCGTAACCCGAGATCCGGAGTTGCAAGAGAGATTAAGACAGGAAAGAGATGGGTTGGGAGAGTGGGCAAGCGAGATTGGGATGAAGGAGTTCCAGAGTAGTGAGAGGAGGGTGGGGCTGCATGTTAGGATTGCGATGTGGATTGTGGGGGTTGTGGGCGGTGCTTTGTAAAAGGGACTTCTGTCTTACATTTGTCCCGACACACTGAAAAAGGCACGACTCAAGATAGGGTGGAATTAGATTATGGGTGTCGTGATACGTCTAACGACGTATCTAGATATCACACCGAATTTTCGCAGATATTCGATTCTTCGGGTCCCAAGATGTACGATTTGTGCGGAACTTTTTGATTATTACGTGATTTTATATAACTTTTAACAACTACAACAATTCTGGAAGTTGTTTTCACCTTATCTGCATTAAAACGCTCAGAACCCTGAACTACAACTCGTCCCTCTTTCTCAAACCAGTTTCTACCGGTCTCATTCTAAACATCTTCACCCCATGCGCCTCCACATCCGCAATCACTGTTCCACTAGGTTTAACCGTCCCGGTCAAATTCCCCAACAGCTCACTTCTCCCTGCCGCTAATCCATCCTCATAACTCATTTCAGTCGCATTATATCTTCCCTCTCCAACCGTCGTAGCGTTATAGCCCGTCGTCGCATTTCCAGTCGCGGTACTTGCGCCAATAATTGCTTGAGCAGTAGCATTATCCATGCGATTTGCCCAGAGATCACGTAATTCCCACTCCATGGATACTTGTTTGGCTGTGCCTCCGGTACCGTAATCAATAAAGATATCGGCCAATGTGGCGTTCATGGTAAGAGTTTCATTACCACCATTGATGAGGAGGAGAACAAAGTCACTGGTCGTGCTGTTGGTGGTGGATTGGAGAGCGCCGGACCACATTTGGATTGTGGCAACGCCGTTTTCATCAGTAGCATCAGTAGCATACATCCAGCGTCGAGCAGCACTACTACCTAGCGGATCTTGGTTCACGGCGATAACGGCTGGGTTGGAGATGATCGCTAGATCGGCGGGTTGGATTTTGCGGAGGTCGTTGCCGAGAATGAGGGGACTTTTTGCGATTGCCCCTTTTTGTTGTTAGAATTTTATTTCTCATCCATTTCTTGACTTGGAAATAAAGTTAAAAGACTTACACATGCTAAAGTGAGCTACATATTCCGAGTCGGTCATTCCTCCATTGCCAACCTCCAGCATATCTAAATCGTTCCAGGCACCTGGTTGGGCTTTTGATACGATGAAAGAAGCTTTATTCATAATGTTGACAATTGAGCACTATACATTTTGCTTTAGTTAGTCGTTCGAAGTATCTGGGTAGAAGAATAGCTTACGTGAAAGCCAGGTAATACGCAGTTAAATGCATCAGGGCCATCGCATGGACATCTGGCGTCTGCTCTGTCCCATGAATCATACACATCACCAGATATTCTCCAACTATTGGCCGTAGTTGATCCCCAATTCCATGGAGAGTCTTCTCCCCAGTTACAAAGGGAGTAAAGAATAGGCCGTCCAGTAGCATTGAGTGCTTTCGCCATCACCTGATATCTGAAACATACAATTAGCCTGATTTGACAGAAACAACTAGAATTCCCAGCCTCCAATACAATTGTGTCTGCACTCGGAATGGTAATATTTCTTACCTTTGAGAACTCAAATATTGGGTTCCTGCTTGTCCAGTGTTGTAACAATTATCATATTTCAAATAATCAACTCCCACCGAAGCAAAATAATTCGCGTCCTCAGTTTCATATCCTAGACTTCCAGCGTATCCGCCACAGGTGTATTCGCCAGCATCTGAATACATGCCAAATTTTAAACCAAGATCATGAATTGCATCTGCTACAGCCTTCATACCCTGCGGAAATTTATCCGCATTGGCGACAAGAGTGTTGTTGTCGCTAGCGTTTCGCCCGTTACTCCAACAATCATCGAGAATGACATATTGATATCCTAGGTCTTTAAGACCATAGTCAACAATCAAATCGGCTGTTTGAAGAAGAAGTTCCTCGGACACGTCACAACCTAGGGCATTCCAATTGTCCCATCCCATTTGGGGGGTTCTAGCTAGGCCATTGTTGACAGCATCCACTCTGGAAACTAACAAGGTAGCGAGAACGCCGAAGATACTTCTCGTCGACATCTTCAATTGTAAGAAATTAAGAAAACTGTGCGAAGAAAATTTTCTGGAGAAACACCAGCTTTTATAGGTCAAAAAACTCCAATCGGAGTATTTACTCGTTGAATCCAGGTACAATCCACTTGTCTGCTAATGACTTCACAGACCGAGTAAAAGCAAGACTCCTAGCGGGGTAATACTGCACTCCGTAGCTCGACATACATGTCACTATTGAAAGATACGAAGAGTATCCGGAGTTAGACATGCAAATTTGCATAAATAGTACAAATAACTCTTACAGACGAATTCTCTACTTGCAAAATGATAAGACAATCTAACATAGTTTGTGATGTATTAGAGAATGTTCCAAACTCTTCCTATGAACAGTTTAGGAGACACTGTACAGAGTTCTAGCACTGGCAGATCTTTCTTGCTTTCGGAAAGGATCAACAAATACCAAGTTATGTACACTCAAGTACCTAGGCTCGCTAGGCACGTAGAGTCGGCTCGGATTATTGGTTTAACCCCGCATCCCCACCAAACCCCGCACGTAGTTAGGTTTAAATGCTCGGAGTACAAACTACAAGTGGAGACAGTTGCATAAAAGGAGACAAACAAGAAGCAGAAGATGGTACAGGCACAACGGCTCTAGTAGCTTGGCTGTTTTTGACAGTTAAAACGACCTCGGAGCGAAGCGATGCTAGACTGGGGCAACTACCGGTAATTTCCTCGTTCCTAGTTTGCTGCCGAACATATCACGGTAAGCTTAGAACTACTCTAACTTCACACAGCATTGTCAAGCGTCCATGTCATGGCCAGCGAAAGTTTAAACAATGCTGACGTCGGAAAGGCTCGATCCACACCAACCTCGTCAGAGGAAGCTAAGACTAGCCCATATCACTTGCTAGGTGACTACAGGTTTGTCGTAGGAAGTCGCTTGAATAGCGGTAAAGCTTTCATAAACAAAAAGTTGGCTTATGTGGTATTCATAGCCGGCGCTTAAAATTTGTAAAGTCTCTGTTGGTCACTCCGTCGCGGACCCTGAGACATACGGATCGAACAAATATTGAAACAGTTGCACTTGTTGGCCATTTTATTGAGTGGAGTACATACAGCGTTGACGGGGTGTGAATATAGGCGGTTTCCATTTTAGATCATCCTTAGTAAGCGGCCTCTTCACGCGCCGCCATTTTCATCCAAACTCTCTCGTTCAAGAAAAGCTTCTTACAATGATGTCCGATATATTTTATTCTTACTATAGACTCCTAGTTTGTTTAAATTTCGACAAACATAGAAGTTCAGAATCATTTGGAAGTATTCCCGTACAATTGAAAATGTCTCAAGAGTCACCATACTACCCTTATGCAACAGGTACGCCAGCCCAGCCAAGAATCCCACATTAGTCTTACAATTCGACGATGGAAACAAGTCGTTGAGAGCTTCTTACACAAACGCTTCCAGCATCATAAAACACGAACTTGCAGAAGCTGACGATCGGCAGTAAGATATGGCCCCATTCCTACCGTTCCGCGCGCGCGAGCTGGTCAAGAATTTTAGGGCCTTTTGATCTACATGATCGCGAGCTTTTCACGATTCAAACTCAACATGCCGGAAATACTCCAACGCGAATGCGCTTGGGCGAGCTTCACATTAGCGTTTTTCGTGTCGTATTTTTCTCCTGGTAGTGCTGGGAATACTGACATTATTTGATCCGAATACTAGTTCTCAGAGTTAGATGTTGGAGGCAGTGCAAATTCGTTAATCGAGCCACAAGGTGCCCTCGTACAAATGACAAAGCTGTGATATATATAGAGCTTCATGCATCATAACTATCTTGAGAGTTACGATTTGTGGTTTGAAACATCGACTATTCCTTAGCACTGCCGCTGTTTAGCTTCTCGGCTTATCATCGTACTTTGTACTGTTATTTTCGCTCGTCATCTTCTCACCCCCCTTTGAAGGCTTCTAGACCCAAATTTGCATTGTAATGTGGCGCTGGGCATAGACGAGTGGATGATGGGGTTCAACCCGAAGCATACCTCGTGAGATCCCTAGCATAAATAGCCTTAAGTGTCGGGTTTAGGAGTTGAATCCTAGGGATACTACCTAAATTCGATCGATCCGGAAGGTGAATTCCACCATCAAAAAATTTGGGCACGAAATTTATAGAGAGAATGTACTTTCTAATTGAGTAGCTTGAAAACAAGTGGCGGGTATTCATTGGTTATGAAACCTTAAAAAGAACTATGATTGGGAGATAGTACCACTGTCCTTTACTATTGGATAACTGTACGATTCAAGAATTACTCGCGCGACCGCAGCCTCAACTCAGAGGTGTCCGGGGGGTCTACAATGACTATGAATTGAAAACTCGCGTTTTGATGGCCATGGTCTCTCAGCACACTGTTGGAGGTATTCCGGGTGTGAAGATGGATTTCTCTATATATGTAGCAGCTGTTCGAAGTATATTGTTCTTATTATCAATCTGATCATTACCACTGAATCAACAGTCTCGATGTCTATGCCTACGTTCGTGTGTGTTCCTGGCTTTTGCCACACTTCAGCTATATTTGATCCCCTCAGAACCCTTCTCGGTCACTACGGTTATCCTGTCCTTCCAGTTCAGCTTCCATCAGTACTTACGAATGGAAACCACGCGTCAAACGATCCTGCTCAGGATACTAGAGCAATTCGAAGTTCAGTGTCACATCTTGTAGAAGCAGGTCACGATGTCATTGTGGTCCTACATTCTTATGCTGGAGTTCCAGGCGGTGATGCTTTGCAAGGCTTAGGGAAACAGAGAGGGCACAAAGAGGCCTTAGAGGTGGAGTTTTACGAATCGTTTTCGTCATGGCATGGATTGTGCAAGAGGGATTTAAAATGTGCGAGGAAGGAGACTATAGTTCCTTTCCACCATACATGCGGTATGATACAGCTTCACGTGTAAGTCAATCAACCCACATTTCTTATTTCCGCTGGATGTTTTCCATGAAACTCGCGATTACAATGGAGTCGAGAAGTATTGGTTCCTCATTCCAGCTAAGATTTTTGCGCTTGTTCTGTATTGAGTTCTAACTTACGTTCACTAAACGTTAGAAAAAGGCTGTTACTGTGTCTATTCCATCCACATCGGCGATTCAAAACTTTTACAATGACCTACCGCATGAGCATGCCGAATATGTGAGTTACTACAACCATACTAAAGCACCGTTTACTAAACCATTCAGTATGCACACATCATGCGCCCCCAAGCCACATCAGTGTTATATCACAGAACGACAATGGCGGCATGGCGCACAATTCCCACCACATACGTTCTGTGCCCACTAGACAACGTACTAACAGATGCATACGCCCGACTCATGCTTAGTTCGGCCCAAGAATCAGGTAGTAATATCGATACTATAGAGGTATGCGAGGGGGCGGGGAGTTGCTGTTGGTTGGGGTCCGGAGCCGATTCGTTCGCGGGGATCTTAAGACGGGCCGCAGGAGAGTTGGTATGAGCGCGTAAGGCAATAAAGCTTGGATCGGCACTTTAAATGCATGTAAGATTGAAATTTGGCATTGGATTTAAATGGACGGAGGGTTGGAACTTGGAATGGCGGGGATAAATCTTGGCGTGGAGGCGGAAATCTTTTGGGGTCGGAGTTTCGGTTTACGAGACGGACATTATATCATTGGGTAATTCACATTTCATGTGGAGTTCATATAAAAAGTTTCAAGGCCATGGCCGCCAACATATCGCGTTTATTGCAAAATTTCTCATCAAATTGGGCCCAATATTACGATAAGAAAATACCTGCCATGTCATGGTCACTTCAGCAGCGGCCTAGAAATACTTTGACCCGACTTGATACATTTCGTTGTTCTTCTCAGTCTGGAACCTTCAACCCATGCCATATTGAAGAAAATTTCCTGCCCAATATCTTTTTCTTCCTTGTATGCCATCATCTTTCATCCACCCCGTGTATTATCCAGGAATTTCCGCACACAAGACTCTTAACTTGGGTATCATTATAAAGACTTTAATCTTGCAATTCTTATCTACAGGAATAGTGACGGCATATCGTGAAGATTTTGCAAATACAATCAACGACAGTCGTATCATCAGTACCCAACTTTTCGATTCGACGCCGGATTCGGCTTTTTAAAAGTCGATTCGCTTGATCAATTGATCTCATTAAATGTATATATTCACCTAAATACTTTTTGATGCAGAAATGACCGTGAATATTCGTCATCCTATCACAAAAGTTCGGGTAAAGATCTCAAGACTTCATGATAACACCCGAGAGTAAGACTACAACGCGTGGCAGTGGCGAAGGATCCTCGCTACTCCCTGGTCTCTTCTTTACTCGAAGACAACATGCCGAAAACTGCAATGTCGAGTCTTCCTCATATGATTCTCAGGCGAGTCGGCTTTAGTCACAGAGGCGAAAGCTAGGACAATGGGAGGCTCAAACTTTTACGTTGTGACAGGATTTTGGGGGAAATGCAGCGCACATGGAGGAATCATTTGAGGAATAGTTTCTTCATTGTATAGAGAATATAACAGATAGTTGCGTGCCTTGATGTGATTTCTTGTAGTCGAATAACTTGGTAGACTTAGTGAGCGATATCCTCCAACCCATGTAGATTGATGCACATATTCAACATTATATGGTCAAGTCTTATACTGGGACAAATAATTAGTAGCGTCTCTGTCTGAGTGAATGTTACTGCTGTAAGGGATCTTCACGGTAGATAATTTATTCTCGTATGGAAGTGGAAAGTGCGATCAATAACAGAAATGGGACATGGGATATTATGCAGTCTGACATCTCTTACTTCTTCAAGCATGAGCTTCCATCCATGTACATCACTGTGCGAAGATAAGACCTGAGTATGTCCCATGAATGGTCTACTTAGGAATTGGAAATATGTTTTGTTCGTTATTGGCACTGTTCAAAATACAGTTTTATCCAATTCTATTGCCCAATCACTTTCCTGGCGCATTCGCAACCACAAAAAGGCATTCCAACAACACGAACAAAACTTACGAAAACACCTGCCAGTTATAACAGGAACCTTTAAGATAATTTATAGCCTGTAAGTCTGTTCAGGCGTTCCCAGGCAGCGGACAAAGTAATTCAAAAGTTACATACAATACCTTTATCATCCAGCACACCCCACCGAAGCTCTACTATATATACCGTGGTAAGATCGTTTTCCTCGTCCGAACCGCAAAGGCAGCAAACAGGCTTGTTTGTCCAGGACAAATGCGGTTTGGCGGAGGAGTCAGCACGCCTGGTTCGAATCGATCGGAAAAAAACCCGTCCGGGGGTTTCCTTACTGTCCCTCGAGGGACGGTAAGGTTTTGCTTCGATGAACTATTTTATATATTTTTACTATCTGGATCCTAGGATTACGATTTGATGAGTTGATGAATTTTTTTTGTTGGATACTTCGTTTTTGGGTGAAAGCGGTTGTGGCGGAGTGAATATGAAGAGTAGTGACGAGACTAGATGGATGAGAGAGGGGTGATTGGATGTAAGCGAGAGTTTGCGAAGTGTGATATTAGTGAATGGTGGACTTGACCAGATCGTTACTGACGTAGCCGAGATGCGTTCGGAACTTGACGTGCACTCTCAATGATGAACGTGTGCATTTTAGATGTAGATAGAGATGGCTAAATTGAATAATTCCATCCATAGTATCAAGAGAGGACAAGATTTATAGATTGAGAATCAAGGATGGGATAGGAGATGAAAATTGATTATTCGAGAGAAGTGATGGAGTTAAGATTAAGAAAGGCAGGGAAAGTATGAGTGGGTGGTAGATTTTGTCACTGAGATTTTATATGCCCAATCGATTTCACGTTGTTTCATCTAGAAATGCTACTCTCCCGAGATCCGTTTTGGAATGGGATGATTGTGGCTTCAAGTACAAGTTATTCTAAACTCGCTGATGATTTTTATTTTGATGCATCTATCCATATCGTTTAGCAATACAGTATGATAGATTTCAACGGGCATATGAAGGTACGAGTAGATTCTGAGAATAGGGAAAGCAGGGGGTAAATTTGAGTGGGAGACGGGTGACTTGTAGCGATGGGGAGTAAGATATACCTGCGATTAAGACTGTATGTTCAACAATCAAGAGTATAAGGTGGTGGAGTGCTGGCCGTAATGGTTTAGTCCGGTTTCCCTTGGTAATTCGGAGACAGTGGTTATCTCCAACTTTTTGCTCCTAGAAAACACGTCTAAATGTGCAGGTCTCTACAGTATTTACTCTCTGTAAGGGACATTTTTCAGATTGCTTTAGACATCAATATACATCAACTATACCGTTCGCTCTTTCTCTTCTTCTTTCTCTTTTTTTGTGAATGCCAGCATGCTTCGTGAGAGGGGTGGAGAGAAATTAAACTAGAGACGAGCTTACTTCCAGGAGAACCTTAAATGATGGAGCAACCTGCCCATCATAAATGAATTTAATCCCAGGCGAGTTGATCATCTTAATCACTGAATTCTGCAGAGCCTACTTTCCCGCCGTCTTCAAAAATTACGATACAGACATCTCGCGTGCCCTTCTTCATCACACAATTCAATAACGATTGCGATGGACAGCCAATTTTTAGATGATTTTTTGGTTGTGTCTTAGATTTTTTGATTCTCTCCATTCATTCTCTTTCAAAGACGCTCTTTTTTCGATGAAGAGGGAGTGAACTGAGATGGGTGATTCCACTCTTTAGAGTTCCCCTAAAGATCCTCGCTTAGTGGGGTTGCTACAACGCAAAATGGAATGGTCAACTTTTCAAGATCAGGCCTGGCCCAGTTGGACACGAATGCAAAAGTAGATAATCAGAATTATCCATCTACTATATACGCATTCATATGTATTAAGAATCCATGAATCAAAAAATTGAGGCTTCCTCTCGGCCGTTGTATTCATCAAGATTCACAAAGTTAAGTTATTAAGCTATCAAATATGTTGCATTCCGACTCAATAAATTTGCAATTTGAGGCCAATCTCTAATCTTGATTTCCAATTTGCAAGTGGCTACTGCATATCATAGTATGAAGGCAGAATAGTAGGGACGGAGTCATGACGCAGGAGACGACGGATGAACGTGGGCGAAAAGCTCTTCAATCTGATTTATCATTTATGGGAAATTTCACATGTCAGGGAATCACTAATAGCAAACTGAATACCGGAAGTATATACCTGGTAAACTCGATTATTGTTAAAATGACAATATCCATACTATAAGTATTGTAAAACCCATCCAAATAATGATTGCTATCTCTGCTTCGTGTATCAGTCAGTGCAACATTCCTTGCCACTTGACCAGACTGAGATCTTAATTGTGAATTCTATTATATCAGTCAAGTTTAATGAATTAATACAATTCAACAGCCAGGCTCCCTGAAAATCATTATCAGAGAGTAGAGGAGATAGGAGAAACTTACCTAATCCAATGTTACGAAATGTTGTTGAAAACGTAACAAGCTCAAACATCGCATCAACCTGGGAGTATCTAGGTGGTCCGCTGTCCACCTGAAATCTAACAATGGCAGAGACCTATGACTATTCACATAAACTTGAATAACAAAGGTCTTTCGAAGATTTTGAACAATTTGAACTTCAAATCTATTTTGAATCTTGAAGTCTGAATAAACATTAAAATTATCCTGGACGTTGCAGTGATCTTAAACATTGAAGTTGTCTAGAACATCTACAATCAATTCAAACATCAAATTCCTAGAACAGTCATACCATCAAAATTTGATCCAAATTGAACCGTATCCTAGACTACAACCCAATGATCCACCATTACTGCAATATCAGTGTTGTATGACACCATCTTTATTCTCCGCTTGCTTACTGGTCCGGGAAGGTCAGCCTGAGCAGGCCATTTCCATAAAACAGTAGTAGGAAAGAGCGACAAGGGTCAGTAATAGCTCGGAGAAGTTAAGCGCTCTCTACTTCATCGACAGCTTTCAAAAAATCAAAATCAAAAACAGCAACAAGAAAAACAACATGTTATGCATCATTCATTAAGCCAATATCAGACATTGCCACACCAAGATTAAGATCTCAACATACCTGTTATCCGGACTCGAAATATTTCAACAAACCACATACCAATTATTTTTCCGATTACAACAATGTGTCAGCGACAGTGGGTTAGATTTTACTGCGGCGATTTACGCTATGCTGAAATTCGCTGCGACCAAAACCCAGCCGGTCGGGTATTCGAGAGCTTGTGTCACTCGCCAGACTTCGGAACGTTCAAGGGACGCAAGAGGCCCGATGGGTCATTGGGATCCAGGTCTGTATAACTGTCCAGGAAGGTGCATCGATTGGGGAAGAATCTCCGGTAAGACGTTTGGCAACGTGAACCACATGAAAGACGCGATATTCGATAAATTCACTTGGTTGCCCTGCAGTAAGGAATGGAATGACGCAAATGTCGACCATCTCAGCAAGGTCTTTCCCAATCTCTATCCTGATACGGCTTCAAGAAAAAGCAAGATTAAAATTCATGGGCGTCCTCAAAAGAAACAGAAAGGTAGGCTTGGTGAAGTACTCTGCTTTGGACCTCAGTTTATCGCTGACATACGACCAGTGAAGTCTGAAGATATTATCGCCAAGACTATCGACATTATCGACTGCGATTATTCGTCCAGACCTTAGACATCTATAGGTCCTTTTTCTTTTGATGATACGAAGGCAGCGAGCAGGAAAGTAAAATCGCATGTAGTGAAGGAAGCCCACGGGAATTGGCGACGAGGAAATGGTATGTACAAAGTCTTTCCTTCACAAGGGAGCACCATCACAATGTTTGAATAGAATGAGCAGGCTAAGATGTAAACTCCAGGTAAACATCTCTGAGGTCCCAGACAACAGGGTGCGCTACAAAAAATAATTCTGGTCAGAATAGCGTGCTTCGAGAGTGTTGCGACGGAAACCACCTGGATACTTGAGGCAGCGAAACGAATATAGATTCTTTGAGTCCTGCTAGGGACTATCTCAATGTTTAGATTGCAGTCGAAAATAAAAGCTCTTAAACTACTGCATTAAGATAGAAGAATTCAGCTATCAGAATCGTTGATTTCACTTCGAATTGAGTAAAGTTCAGACATTGAAACTTCACATTCATCACTTGGCAGGGAGAAAGCCGATATCCATCTTTTCGTTCGATACCAAAGATTGCGACGTCGAGTATATCTTCGCACTGCCAGTACGACAAATCGATAGTTTTCAATCGACAGGTTTCACGTCATCTTGAAAAAAAGTCTTTTCTCTACCCTATGATTTCTTGTCATCGTGTATCAACCGTCGTGTATTGAAATTGTGCCTAGTATGCCCCGCATGAATCCGCCGGCAGATTCCGTGGTGGAAGCCATGAAAACTCTTTCAGGTTGTTGATATTGGTAGAGCAGTAAAATATTTATTCGAAAAGGTTTCCCCTAAATCAGATGTTTCGTAAAGATATGAACAAACACAAATACTCTGAATCCCATCTGGAACACAAATTCAAAACTTCACTCCAAGCACTCGCTCAGAGATCAACCTTGTCAGGAGGTTCGCGTCACAAAACGCCTGGATAAACTCTATCAGATACGCAGGTACTGACGCGAAACTAAACCATACCATTCTACATGTGCGGCGATAAGTTGTGGATACAGTACGAGTGCGGGGATGTCGACCCGCAAACATTAAGATGCTCTCTAAATCCTGAAGGACCATTGGAGACTTGCAAGAATTGGCAAAAGGACCCAAAGCTCTCAATTACCAATAAGTCAGGAAAGTGTCCGGCATGTACTCAGGATGATGATGAATGGGTAGGAGGATCTAGCATGAGGCTGTCGGTAAAGACCCCACGTAAAAATACAGATACCAGATAATAATTCGGCATAGACATAATCTTACACATACAATCAATCATTTGATCCAAAAGATTTCAATACGTACGCTGAAACTGGACAGCCAGAAGTTTTGTGGTGGTGATGGTCGTGCAGAGGATGGCAAAAAGTTAGGAGTTATGTCAATTGTCCAAAGTATCTAATAGTGGGACCACAAGAACTTATGTACTTTCTTTGAATGGTGGAATTCAATATCGGAATTCATGTATTTTTCAAGCTTAGCAATTGAACATAACGATACCTGTTATTATCGAAACCATCTTCTCACTCTCAAGAGTCGATTCTGTCTAACATTTTTGAATGTTCGCTTATATGAGCCCACTGTTTGAGTAGCACTCCCAAATGAAATATATCTGGTTTAGCTGTGGCAAGTCAGTATCTAAATGACTTCATGATAAGATTCTATCCATTTAGATAGGCTGTTCAAAGATGAATATCCGGGACTTCCCGCAGAGTCAGTCCTAAAACATGGAGTTGGAGCTGGAGCTAGAACAAAGAAACCGCGCCTAGGCATGGAAAACTTCCAGAGAACCTTACCTCTGCTCTTTGCTATAGTTGCTGTTCGAACCATGTGGAAAATAATGATGAAATGACCCCATGAGATACCTATGTGATACGTAATGGAAGTTTCGCAAGTTCCCGCAGACACCATATGAAGCTTGAAAAGGGATGATTCTTGAATTCGAAGAATAAAGCTTTAGCTTCAAAATCCATTGTTGCTAGAAACGCGGAAACCTCCTTCACTCCCAAGATCGAGTAAATCTACTGAAATGTATATGATGTTGCAGACTGAGCTAGATATTCGGACGTGTCTCCGATAAAGAAAGTTGAGCACTAGGATTAATGGCCCTCGATGGCTTGGGTTGGATCTAACAACAATAGCCTGGTGTTGGAAGACGTTTTTGGGATCAAGTTAATAATTAATCGAGAAAATTAGAGGTTGCATTCACCTACTCAGGAGAAACTTGTAGTTTTCCGAACATTGAATAGTTCCAATTTAGGATTCAATTTAACCCACCGCTAATTCATCCATGAAACAGATATAGAATCGGTATTTACTTGCCAGATTGTGAATTGGACTATCAAAATGGTACAGTGCAAGAAACCAGCCGTAAGGCATGGTAAGAGGAGCTTCTTCGGTTTGGTGAGAGCTTCATGACTCATTATTTCAGGAAATGCAAAACAAGAAAGATTAAGATGACAACAGCGTCCGAAGAAAACTGAGGCTTAGTCTTGTACAGTTGTACGACTGAATATTATGAACGGGATATGATATGTAAGTTCTGTACTTTAAGACTGGAGATGGTGACTTGAGATACCACAATGCACTGCAATGCCACTCTTAGTTTAATCGTTACAATTTCAACAGAGCGATGCGAATGAAAAGACGAGGAAAACCTCAGAGTTGCTGCAATGCCCTGAACGATGCAAAGAAGAAACGGTGATAGATTCTGCAATAGAGTGAGGTGGGATGAAGAGCCATACAAAGCTGGCAGTATGATACCGTGGACGGCTGTTACTGACGAGATTGATCTGCTGTAAAGATTCTATACAGCTGGCAGTATGATATCGTGGACGGCCGTTATTGAAGAGAGTACCTCTGCTGTAGAGGTTCTATACAGTGCAGTATTGTATCATAGATGGCTACCATCTTCTCAAAATACAGATTATATGGGCGTACTGTAGTGTTCGCAAAAGCTCATTGAAGAAACTGTTGTATATCCTATTGTCGACATCACCATCACCATCGACAATGGGTTAGAATGTAGGTATCATACCTGGATGCTGCGATGCATGCATTCTCATATAAATTGAAATCTCGTGATGTTATTATTATTTTGAGAGAATGTAAAATTTTCTCCACTAAAATTCATTCCTGTGACGTTTTTGCTTCCTACTTTTATTTTACTGTCATTACCTACCTAGGTACACTTCGAAAGTTCCCGACCCCTCGCCTAACCTTTACTAGCACACTAAATTTCTTCTGACCACCACCCACACTCTGACCCTAAGCCCACGTCACAAATACGACAAAGACAAGACGAATAGATAATATCTTGACAACTGTAAATTGCAGAGTCAACGGATATTGTCCAACCACCTGCAGGTCAAATCATTCATAAAGGTCAAATTGTCTAAGTGGTTTTGTCTCATTATCCGCCAATATGAGTGACGCTCAGGCAAATGAGGCCGAGAAGAATATCGAGATATGGAAGGTGAAAAAATTGATTAAGCGCCTCGAAGCTGCGCGTGGAAATGGAACCTCCATGATTTCTCTCATCATTCGTAAGACGTCACATCGATTTATTATTTACATACTCTCTAACATACTATGTAGCGCCAAAGGATCAAGTCTCCCGTGCGGCGAAGATGTTGGCAGAAGAATACGTATGTTACCGCATTTTCTTGATATCTGCCTATTATATACTGACTCAAACTTGGATATAGGGTACCGCATCGAACATCAAGTCTCGTGTGAATCGACAATCCGTTCTTTCTGCTATCACGTCTACCCAACAAAGACTGAAGTTGTATAACAAAGTCCCGCCCAATGGATTGGTTGTTTACTGTGGTGAAATTTTGACATCGGAAGGAAAGGAAAGAAAGGTCAACATCGATTTCGAGCCCTTCAAGCCCATCAACACATCTCTCTACCTTTGCGACAACAAATTCCACACGGAAGCTCTCGCTGAATTGTTGGAGTCTGACCAGAAGTTCGGCTTCATCATCATGGACGGAAATGGAGCCCTCTTCGGTACATTGAGTGGAAACACCAGAGACGTTGTTCACAAATTTTCTGTCGATTTACCAAAGAAGCACGGACGTGGTGGACAATCTGCTCTTCGTTTCGCGCGTCTTCGTGAGGAAAAGCGTCATAACTATGTCAGAAAGGTTGCCGAATTAGCTGTCCAGAACTTCATTACAGCAGATAAAGTCAACGTAGCTGGTATCATCTTGGCTGGTTCTGCCGACTTCAAGAACGATCTTAACCAGTCCGATTTGTTTGACAACCGTTTGGCTACAAAGGTTATCAAGGTTGTTGATGTTTCTTATGGTGGTGAGAACGGATTCAATCAAGCTATTGAGCTTTCAGCCGAGACACTTAGCAATGTCAAATTCATCCAGGAGAAGAAGCTCATTGGAAAGTACTTTGAGGAGATTAGTCAAGACACAGGACGAGTTTGTTATGGTGTTGAGGATACTTTGAAGGCTCTGGAACTAGGTGCTGTTGAGGTATTGATCGTTTTTGAGAACCTCGAGATCAACCGCTGGGTGTTGAAGGACAGCAATGGCGTCCAAACAATTCTTCATACTACTAAGCAATCCGAGGCCTCAAACCGAGAACAATTCATGGACAAGGAGACTGGCCAAGAAATGGAAGTCGTTTCCTCGGAATCGTTCTTGGAATGGATCGCCGAGAAGTACAGAGATTTCGGAACAACATTAGAGTTTGTCTCGGACAGATCCAGTGAGGGCAACCAATTCGTTAAGGGTTTTGGTGGTATTGGTGGCCTCTTGCGCTACAAGGTCAATTTTGAACAATTGGCCGAAGTTGATGACGATGATGACTACTACGACGGTATGTTATAAGCATTCATAATCAAAAATTACTTCAGAGACTAATATGATATAGATTGACAGTTTGATGCCCTCGCATCGGGCGAGGAGCCAACTCCAGTCGAACCGTCAAGCCAAATTCTGTCACACCGCCCTCGTGCCGTGCAACAGACGACCCCAGCGCAGCCGGCTTCCCCAGCTGGCTTGGGACTAAGAGGGAACACAGGGAATGCCCGTCCCAGCCCTCTCCGGTCCGTCATGACGGCTTCGTAAGTCGGAGAAACCATATTTCAGGTATGTGATTTATTCATTGTTGTTCCTTCTGCACCTTTCTGACAATTTCGTGCAGAATATATGATTCCGTGAAAACTAGGCGATACCCTGATGTTTCTCATGTGTGTTAAGGTCGAGGAAAGATTGCGTTTTGGCAGAATTGCTTGCTATTAAAATGTATAGAAGGTTATCTGAAGTTCAGTATCAATAGATCAGCCATGGATAGATCAGGTTACCCGAACTCAAATATCAGGACAGCTTTTATACTTAAGTTCAATGCTTCATATTGTGTTTCTCATTTGGGGCTATATACCTGTGAAATTCTCGAATATTCCCGAATTACCCCAATTTATCATGATGACAGAAGCCAGTACACAATCCCATACACAACAGACCCATATCTCCTTGATTGACACCTCCTTGAATGATGACCGGATCCGAAGAATCTAGCAATACCTTCCGCGGAAATCGTGACAAGGTGGGGTTTCTTCTCATGTTTACGGTAGCGGGGTGAGTGAGCAACAGTACGTAGCAAAATAAATATCAAAGATTTCCTTTACTTTCTCACGAGTGACCACAACTTTCTTCTACAAACAATTCGACCGTATGAGTGGTACGCGAGTCTTCCCGAGATGCAGTGAACCCGATTATTATTTAAAACCGGAATTATATCAGTCTTTTCCGAACCACCGAACCACGTCAACATTAGAAGGAGTGAAGACAAGCTAAACAATGCAGTCCAGAATCAACTCCTCTAGCAGACCAGCTATCTCTTTCCTTGGGCCCATTTCTTCTTATACTCATCAGGTACTTGATCTTCGTTTAATTCAGTGTCCAGCGCCCTTCAATTGTCGACATTATGAGCAACATGCAATTCCAATAGGACTAACAGATGACTGTCACCCCCAGGCCGCTCTTGGACGCTTCGAAAAAGAGAAGTACGAGTACCAACCAGCCATTGGAATACCAGGTATTGCGATCTTCAAATCATCGCTAACGCGTTACTGATGGCATATAGATGTTTTCGAGGCTGTTCAATCGGGCAAAGCAGAGTTAGGTGTTGTACCTTTTGAAAATTCTACAAATGGAGCTGTGATCTTTACCCTAGAACTCCTCGCAGATCGCCATTCCTTATACAAAGATGTCACAATATGCGGTGAAGCCTATCTTGATGTTAGTCACTGCCTGTTAGGTTATGTTTCGACGGCAGATTCTCCAGTAATGTCTGGCACTTGTACTCCTACTACATCCACTCCTTCTCCTGTCAAGCCAAAGACAACGCCGCTATCTAGTCTTAATCACATTCAACGTATTTACACCCACCCACAAGCATACGGTCAATGCGAGGCATTTCTAGGAACATACTTGAAGGGGGTTGAGAGACTGGACGTCAGTTCCACAAGCAAGGCAGCCGAAATCGTTCAAGCAGATAAGACTGGTACAAGTGCAGCCATTGCTAGTTCGCTCGCAGCAGATATCCACAAACTGGACATTCTGGCAAAAGGAATTGAGGATCGTGATGATAATACTACCAGATTCCTCATTTTGCGCAAAGGTGTAGATACATCTGCGACAAAGGTTGATGTTGCCGCTAAGTCGATGGTTACTTTCACTATTGATCATAGGACACCGGGTGCACTCGCAGATGTACTGGATTGCTTCAGGAGATACCAAGTCAATTTGACAAGTATTAACAGTCGCCCAACGAAAATAGTTCCTTTCCAATACATTTTCTTCGTTGAGTTTGAGGGAAGTAAGCTGAGTGATCCAGAGGGAAAAGTAGCTGGGGCATTGAATAGCCTCGACAAATACACACAGGATTGGCACTGGCTTGGGAGCTGGGAAGATAAACTTGTGGATAGACAAAAGAAAATATAATGGAGTATCAATGGCATGGTATTTATGGCATGGCTACGATATACCGAAGGAAATTTAGACAAACATCCGCCTTTATCGGATTCTTATCGATAAGGATGACGCTTTTCTTGGCATTCAGGTCGCGGGCCTTTTCGCGTCGTTTAGATCTTCGGAATCTTCTTCCATCTTTTATGTACTACTTCTTCTACCCATCACAGTTCATGATGACGAATTTATGATATTCTCGCAGACGTTTTCTGCATAAAACCTGGCATGAGGTTCTCCAATTTCTTTTATTCTCGATCATATGGTCTTCGTACCATCCATCGCTCCTTGGTATTACCCGCGCATGCTCGAAAATCTTCTACACAGTCAATTCTCCACAAGGAACTCACTTCACGCAAGCCCAACATTATATATGATTACTTGTCGCCAACTCCTTCTCATCTTTTAAATATATCTCTGGCGGACTTCCTTCCACCTACATGCTACCCTGCTAATTTCAAAGCCCAAGACCTCACCCTTCCGTACACTACTACACTCGGACATGAGTGTAGTGATACAGCACTTCTCCCCCAGTCGCATCATCTAGTCTATTTCTCTCCTCAAATTCCTCACAGTGCTCTACTCCCCGATGGCACAGATCCTCTGCAGTCCCCAGGGCCGCCATTTGTGCGCCGCATGTGGGCTGGTGGGTCTCTGGTTTTCAATACTACGAGTGGAGAGCAACTCCGTCTTGGTAACATGCGAGCAGCTTGTATAGAACGAATCGTGGACGTTTCGGTCAAAGGGCGTGAAGGTGACGAGAAAGTGTTTGTAAAAATTGAGAGACGGGTTGGCCTCGCTGATACCGGAGACGAACTGCGGATGAATCCAGATGCAAAGAGCAGCGCAATCGCTTCGGGAAAGTGCTCTGTAAGTGATCGAAATTACATGGCCGATCAACAATTACTACAACGTCACCATGTCGATAACAACGACAACATCGGACAAGCATCCTTAGTGGAGACGCGGAATATCGTCTTCATGCGGGAGAAAGACACAATTACTGCCAGAGAGGATTGCGCTAGGCTTCCAAAGATCTTGAGGCGTAAGCTATTTCCACACTGTTGCCCAAGGATTTCTTTGTCCCATTAACCAAGCTTATAGCCACGCGTAAACCAGACTTTGATGTGCGAATGACACCTACACAATCCCTTTTATTTAGATTTTCGGCCCTTACATTTAATGCTCACGCGATACACCTGGATCCCCAATACTGCCGGGAGTCTGAAGGATATAGGAATCTACTCCTTCACGGACCCCTTTCATTGGTGCTCATGTTCTCCGTCTTGCGATCACAACTTCAGCCTGGTGAGATGATAAAAAAGTTCAATTACAGAAACCTGGCTCCACTTTACGCAAATGAAGAACTAAGAGTCTGTGTGGGGAAGAATGCCGACAAAAGCAACAAATACGAAGTGTGGATTGAAGGAAAGGAAGGCGGATATGCTGTCAAGGGGTCTGCGGTTGTTGGACCCCTTGACACTGGTGATAGCTAGTAATTGGGTAATAATGGACAACAAGGCTGAACAGTGAAGACATCCCGGAGGATTTAATCTCTCTCGAATATTCTCCGATGTTTGAGGAGGTAAAACAAGCCACTTTCGTAGGGTTCTGCAGATCTGATGAAATTTGATGTTGGGAATATAATTTGGTAGCTGTTTTGAAAAGATGAGACGAAATCAAGATCATCCCTTTCGTCCCTGACACTACGGTAAGGTACCGAAAAGCACTGCACAGCATAAGCTGTGTATAATACGATCATTTAGATGAAGCTGCAGGGAATAGCAGGCCCTGAGATCCTCTGACACGATTCACAAAATCAGAACCAACCGCAGCATGAATGCTAATCTTTATACGAATGGACGGGTGTAGGATGTGATGCAGAGTAACCAAGGCGGCTCGTATTTCGGGAGAGGCCTCGATACTAGCACTCGATTGATGAAATCAAACAAACCCCAACACACGTTCTTTTCTACATTCTGAGTATTCAAGTCTGAGAGGTCATTAGACCATCAAACCTAAATGAGGAAGATTGGAGGTATTGAAGAGTGTTTACTCCGCATGAGGAATCTAAGTTTTGAAGAGATCGAATCATCCGACGCCCAAGGTTGAATTAGGACATTATAGGCGTTAGTATTTTGGATTTTGATATGCGATAGGTGAGCGACGATCATAGTGAAAGACAGCTGGAGAATACGGTAATATGATTGTATGACCCAGTTTATGCTGGCGCCTCTTTAACATGGTCATTTATCACGATATTGCTCATCACCAACCAGATCATTCAGACGGTCCAGGGGAATTTATCTCCTGTTGTTGGTTTGAGCTTGACTGCGGAGTATCGCATAGCCAGTAAGGTTCAAGATAGTAGGTAGGTAGGTAGGTAGGTAGGTATTCGGAATGCATTTTGTGATTTCGAGGATACCTAGGTAGAAATGAAGATGCTCGCAGACAAATGCATGGTAGTTTATTCACAGTAGGGTAGAGAGGTATAGTACACATAGTCAGTATATACAGCAAGTACAATACAATACAATCAAGTACAAATCAAATAGATGATGCATTGGTACAGACAGACGGGGTCAGATCATTCCCCAAATCCCAAAACATTGGCATGGATACATGATCGGTTTCTCTCTCTCTCTCTCTCTCGCTCTCTCTCTCTCTGCATGCATAATAGACCGGTGCAACATTCTCTGTACTAATTAAATACCTTTCCTAGGGAATTACTAGGGAGTTACCTAGTACACAGGGTTGGATGTCCCGCTCCCGCAATCAGAGCCAAAGCACCAGACAACACAACACAACACACACCCACACCACACCACACCACACCACACCACACACACTGCGTTGCATGCATGCACTGCATCCGTCCATTCTCACCCTTTTCTTTGTGGAAATTCTTTAATTCTTACTCTGTAGGGAGGTAGATCTATCGGTAACCATATCGGTAAACATATCAAAATGGCATACGGTACCAGAAGTATCACCGGGAGCATAAACATGATAATTATAAACTATTCATACTTAGCCATAACCATCCATAGCCATAACCATCCATAGCCATAACCATCCATAGCCATAACCATCCATAGCCATAACCATCCATAGCCATAACCATCCATAGCCATAACCATCCATAGCCATAACCATCCATAGCCATAACCATCCATAGCCATAACCATCCATAGGTAGCCACAGCCACAACCACATCCACAAGCGGTAGCAGCTACCACCATAGCTAGGTACCTAGGGAGGTATATCACATTACTATACCATCCATACCTACCATCAAACCCCGAACCACCAGACTTCTCTGTTGCCAAGCGAATCTTGGAAAAGGTTCTCGGTGCTAGATAGGTACCAAGGGAGGGAGGGAATTACTAACTTTACCTTATCCACGGTACCAAGACAGGTACTTTATAGGGATTTCTTACTGTATGACCCGACCATACGATACGATACAATACGATACCTCTCTCCTGGTTAGAATACATAAAGGACGAGAGAGAGGAAGAGAGAGAGAGAGAGAGAGTCTTGTTATGATCACATCCACTTTATACCTAGGAGGTACCATTCATTTGTTTATCTACCTACCTACCTTCTCGCTATTCATTTCTGATTTATGAATTTACCATCTTTTCTTTGCTTGCTTGCTTGCTTGCTTGCCTGCAATCTATCATCTCCATCTATCATTTATAATCCGGACTTTATAAATTGTAATTTATAAATTATAAATCTTCTCAATCATTTCATCTACCCGCACCCAACGCAATTCTCCTCCCCACCAAAATCGAACGAGGGCGAGCCATTCGCCATTTTTCGCTGGTTCCCGTTATCATACATGCTCTACATCCTGGATATACCTACATCCCATCCATACATCGGTCGCTACCTCCATACATAAGATATAATTCTATAGTCGATCAATTAATTCATTTTAAGCTCAATTTCTCGTCCTTAACTTTAATTAATTCACTGCTGCAAACAGTACACCTTTTTCTAGCTTTTTCGTCTTTTTTTTTACTTTTCATCTTCCTATTCCATACATTCATTCTCTTCAATTGTGTATTTTGTTTCACTTTCAGATCTTCATTAATTCGCAATTCCGCTTTCATCAGATGCTCGTCCACCATACCTCTCCAGCTATACATTTGCAGCTATCGTAGCTTAATCCGGTGAAATTTCCTACTAAACTTCATATACATTAAAAACCCCTCAACTTCTGCCGCATGAATGTTCCTGAAGAACCTAATCATTCATATTTGGCTTTGCAGTCCAGCTTAGCAAGAGTTTTTCCCGTCGAGAGAAAAGTTATGAGATGGCGCCCAAACAATCTCGGCGAAAGAGTTTAAGTCTCCTTTCCAGAGCATCATTTTCAAACCTCGCGCATATCAACACCGACATCAACAATGGCAACACGAACGACAAGGAGCAGAAGGATAAGAAGAAGCTGGGGAAGAGAAGCTCGATCTTTAGCAGTCTGACGCCTTCAATGTACATCGACACAGAAAATACAAGCCATAGTCCCACGAAAGCCGACGCCCATTCACCAAAACTGCGACCTCGTACACTGCAAAAAGGCAGACCAACTTCATTATTCGGGTCCTTGGGGAGAAGGTCTATGACCGATTTGGATGAGGATAAGGAGGTTACAGGCACAACTCCTGAATCTCCCGAAGAGGAGTATCACTATCTTGCGGCGGGGATTCTCAATGCGAGTAGTGCCGTTTCGATACTTCACCATGGCGAAGTTCAGACGACGACGTCGATGTTTAGAAAGAAAAAGGAATACCTTGTCCTGACGGATACACACTTGACACGATTCAAGAGCATGGCGCGAGCGATAGAGGCATTTCCAAATATACAACCGGCGCACTTGCGTCAATCTCATCGCCAGTCATCCACTGCATCAATAGGGTCGCTACAAGAAGTACAGTCTCAAGCTTCGCATGCATCAACGGAGGGCGAAAATAGAATTCCTCTGGGTCAGGTTGTCACAGTCTACAAGATGGAGGATGGGCGGCCATTTTTCACAACCGAGGTCGTGTTTTTAGACGAGGATTACCATGGAGTAGGATCCATTCAGCTTATGCTACATGACCCAAAGGATGCAGATCTATGGTCCACTTCAATAAGAGCGGCTGCGCAGAAAGCCAGACTCATGATGCCGGAACCATACCCCGAACGAGTTGTCCGATACCTCGTTCAGACCCTGGAGGGAGTTGATGACTACGATTCGAACCATTTCCAGGTATTCAGAGTTGTCAAACGAACTCCATTAGCAAAGAGCGCGCGCTCCTCATCGGACGATCTTCAAAAACTTGGATCATCAGTGTTCTATATGGTCATTGGTATAAATCGATTGCACCTGATACCCCTACCTGATTTTAGCCTGCCTTCCGGTGCCCTTTTTCATGCAAAATCAAGTCGAAATTCGTACGGCCTTGTATCCCTAGTTGCAATGAACGTGCAGTATTCTGATGATCGATTTGAGCTCGCATTCAGGTTAGTTTAGATCTCTTAGCGTACTTCATGTTTGCCTTCTTGTGCAGAGTTCGTCGCGTGGTATGGGAAATCCATGTGTGACATTTGACGGTTGCGAGTGCCATTGTCTGTCTTAGCATGGCAATTGCAGCCCATTATGTCTGAGATTGTTTCTATATTCGCTTTGTGCCGTCATAAGTATCAGGTCTAAGCGCCTACATGTATCTAGATAGCCATTATATCCAGTGATTGTGCATCTTGACAATAATTGCAAAACGCAGAGATGGGGACTAATTAAGCGTAGAACACCCCTTCAACAAGCCAAGATGCTCGAGTTAGCAGCTTCAGCCACACACGATATTGCGGTGGTCATCTTTCAAGCCATACAGTATCTCAAACCAGCATGGCTGGACTACAACTTCACGTTCAACGGGCCCATGCGTCTATTGGAGTCTGGTGATATCCCTCTAGTTCACGAAGAAGAGGAGTATGGGTGTTTTGATAGAACCTTGGTTGCTTATTGCATGGCCTATAATGTAAGATACTGCGTGTTGGCTTGCGAAATCTATCTGGCTGACTTACCTAGTGCAATCCCGTGAACATAAAATATGCAGTTGATTGGAATGTTGAGGATGCTCCAGAATTTCGTCTCTACCCTCCTGCCATGACGGCTAAATATACGATTTACGAACTGCTTGCTATCTTTAGGTCTTTACGATATAACGAATCTTTTCGCTCAATTTCTTTTGCAGATATTGATCTTCATTGTATGCATGGTATTGTGGATTCCTACGGCATAGATCACGTAGCTTGGACTACTCGAGTAGGGATCGCGATAGATACCTACTTCACCATGAAGCCACAGGATGGATCACTATTATACCAAGAAGTTCAAGCACTTGCTCTGAAGTCACTACAGCTTCGAAAGGTAGATTTCAGTAACGCTCTTCCCAGAAGAAGACCGCGAGATACTTTTGATGATGAAGGGGGCGTTCTACAGAAAGATCCGGGTTGTGAAATTACTGCAGCATTGATGCCATTGTGCCGCGCACAATTGACCAATGTTAATTGGATTGTTCTAAACGGAATTGAGTTGGGAGAAACAGATCTTGATGCGATGATTCCTGCGTTGAACAATCCAAAAGCTGAGATTAGGGCGATCGAGTGCTCGCGCTGTGGACTTAGTGATCGAGGGATAATGCAACTTTTGACTCATTTGGAGCGACAAAACCAAACACTAGAGTGCATCAATATATCTAACAACCCCGGGAGAATTCTTCTCGAAAGATTCCAAGTATCCATGAGTCGTTTCTCGCACGTTCGCAAGCTCGACCTTTCCATGATCACTCGTACATCTGGTGATCAACCCCTTTTTGTTCCTGAAGTCATGCTCTCTTGGAGGTTGGAGGAACTGATCTTGAATGGGATTCCTGTAAGTATGCTGCCCTTGATCTGAAACTTCTTGCTGACTTGATAGGTAAAACGATCAAACTTTGGACACAATTTCTGCCTATCTTACAAGTGATATGTCAAATCAACTTCGCACCTTACAGATGGATCAGTGCAATTTGAGTGGATCGCATGTTGCTCTTCTCATGAGAGCTATGACTCGAGTCGCTGGTGAACCTCGTGACTTGGAGCTTCACGTAAGTGCCAACCGACTTGAGAAGGGGATTAGTGATTTTGTAAAAGCTATTCAAGAAAACTTCACTCCCACCAAACTCGTGGTTCGGATGATCGAATTCACAAAAGAGGATTACTTCAAGCGATTACTGGAAGCCCTGCGCACCAATACTACGATTCAGGTCCTGGATATTTCGAAAGCGTCCCTTCCATATGATGCAAGTCCGGAGACATGTGAAACCATGCAGAGAGTTTTCGCTTAGAACACCACGCTTGAGGACTTGGATATTTCTGGAGAACAGGCACATTTGGAGGTTACTCGATTCGGAATAGGCTTGAATCAGGCACTGACCGGTCTCAAAAAGAATAATACTTTGAAATCTCTTCGTATAGAGTACCAAAACTTGGGTCTGGAAGGAGCGAATACCCTCTCCTCTGTTTTGGAAGAGAACAGGGGTTTGACGCATATCTTCTGTGAACACAACGATATCAATCTTCAAGGATTCACCATACTCGTCAATGCTATTGCAAAAAACCACACTGTTCTTGAAGTTCCCTATATGCAAGACGATCAAGATATTGCCATGAAACGAATGAGTGCCAGTATGAGGGATACACGCCGCGCCACGAGCTCTTCGTCCGCGAAAACCACCACGTAAAGAGTTCAGTAAAGCGAACATTGAAAACCTTTGGGGTTGGGGTTGAAAAGCCTATCAAACAAGAATTGACACCTCAAGATGTTGATCAAGTGGTAAAGGTCTTGGCCGAGAAGTGGAATACGGAGATTGGAAGATTGTCTATGTTCTTGGAAAGAAACAGAAACATAGCTATGGGCGTGGAGGGATATGATCCTGTTGAGATTATAGGCGAACACGCCATGCGTCCTACCACAGCGATGAGTGATCGAGGGATTTTGGAACAGGTTTTAAGCAACACGACGCCGAGGATTGAACTGGGAAATCCAGTTGAAATCACAAATGATCGATTTTCTGGCATGACGCCATTAGCAGAGGTGATTAATCCTATGGAAATGGAAAACGAGAGGCCCGTGGATGAAATCGAGAATATTCAATTCAAACGTATACATTACAAACGCAGTAAGGATGGAGGTCTACTGCCTGATTTGCCTTCTCTGGGCAGTGAAAACATGTTTGGATTGGAGGAAAGGGAAGATACTACTCAACTTAAACCCAAACGCATATCTTACAAACGCAGTAAGGATGGGGGCTTACTGCCCGATTTGGGTCCGTTGGGTAATGAAAAGATGTTTGAGTTGGACAGTGGGTTGTTTGAAATGGAATCTTGATTCATTGAATTCAGATTTAGTACTTTGCAGATGGATTATTTGTGCGTTCTTTGCTTGCTTTAAATCGCGTTGCATTTGGGATGGAGTTACGGAATTGGTTTACTACTTTACTCGCACTAAAAGCCAAAAAGTGAAAGCATACTTGCAAGCGCGCGTAGCATAGAATACAGCTATACGGCTTGTAACAGGGATAGGGAACACTTCTTGCTTTTGTCTCATGGTTGGATTAATGGAAGGGTAGTCGGGAAGTGCAGTCGCATGCATATCTGTATATTGAGGAATGGACGGATTGGGATGGTTGGCGAGGGATACAATCATTGAATTGGGTGAACTTGACTATATTAAAGATACAGGGTACATGGCGGGGGGAAGGGTGTTTTTTCGGAGTATTTATGCGTGCATCTTTCATTGATAGGCGTTGGCAGATTGGGGGTTTTTGATAGGGCGTTAGGAAACGAGATTTTTTTTTTTGAGATCTTGATTAGAGTGCACTTGGTTGCATACGTAGCGAAGCGATTGGTGAGCGAATATTTTGTGCTTGGAAGTTTGTGTTGAATTATTATGAGGGAGATGGATGCATTGGATGCATGGATGGATATACCAAATGAGCGTTATTCGTAGAGTATTGAATTGAAAATATCTAGGTAGATTGAAATCAAATTTATTTTACATGCATTATACTTATATACATATACCTATGTATGTTCATTTACTTTATCTTGCTTCGCTTCCCGAGGTCACTATCACCCGACTCTTTAGAGTAGAGAGAGAGAGAGAGAGAGAGAGAGGAGAGGAGAGATCTGATTATAGGTTTGTAGGTTGTAGGTTTGTACGGTTGTAGTCGGTTTGTAGCGTTGTCGGTTTGTAGATTTGTAGACTTGTAGATTTGGTAGGAGGGTTCTGGGTTTGGATAATGAGTAGAGTAGGTATTGAGAAGCGTGTATTTTTTTGGTTCTTTCTTTCTTTTCTCTTTCTTTCTTATTCTTTCTTTTCTTTCTCTTTTACTCTTTCTTTTCCCTTTCTTTCTTTCTTTCTTTCTTTCTTCCTTTCTTGTCTTCCTTTCTTTTTTTGTTTGTTGTTTTATTGTGGTAATGGTCACTGGTATAATGGGATAGGGATAGGATGGTTTCCTTTGTTATTTGATGTGATGGGTGGATGGATGGAAAGTGAAGGAAGAGAGAAAAGAAATGAATGAATGAATAAATGATTTTCTTCTCAACTTTCTTTTCTTCGATTTATACTGTTAATCAATCACTTGTGTTTATTATTTATTATTATTATTATTATTATTATTATTATTATTATTATTATTATTATTATTATTATTATTATTATTATTATTATTATTATCAGACTGCAAGATTCGAGTTTGAATCTTGAGGGGATACTGATACTATATTCACTTCTGTTTGGGGTTTGATTGGGGAAGGAGGTAGGAGTTAGAAGGAGATAGATAGATAGTTGGATGGTTTTATTCTTACTCTTACCCTTACTCCTACTTCTATTTCGATTGAGCAGATATACTTCTTTTCTTTTTCTTCTGCATCTTCAACATCGATATCGACATCGAAACTATTGACACTATCAACACTATCAATAAGTAAACAAAGCAAAGCCAAAACAAACAGAAAAACAGAAACAAAATAAAATAAAAGATGTCCCACCCCCTCACCACAAACCCTCTACTTCGCCTACGGTTCCAACCTCTCTCTCACACAGATGAAAACCCGCTGTCCAGACTCGACATATGTAGGCACGGGTGTGTTGCAGAACTATCGATGGATTGTGAATCAGAGGGGCTATGCTAATATTGTTTTCTGTGGGGATTCTGGGGATGAGTCTAACCCTCCCCCCACACACACAAACGAAACAACCACCAAACTCCCCTCCACCCCTCAAAATCCTCAACCACCGTCTACGGACTCCTCTACACCCTCTCCCCCCGCGACGAAACCCTCCTCGACACAAGCGAAGGCGTCCCCTTCGCATACACGAAAATTTCTCCTCTGATCACCCTCCGATCCGTTTCGCCCTCCCTTGGTGCGCCCACAATATCCTTTCTCTTGTCTTTATTTCCTGGTTCCGTTTCTGTTTCCAGGGATTCCGTTTCCACGGTTTCCGTTTCCGAAGTTTCAAGTGCCGGGTTGGCATTCCCCCCTCTGCTTCCCTCGTCATTTTTTCTCTGCGCCCTCTCCTCCTTCTCCTCCTCCTCTCTTTCTCCCCACCGCCTCCCAACCATCCCAACCATCACCACCCCTCCAAATCCGCGCACTAACCTACATCGATACCCTGCGTATCACCCCCTCGGCTCCCAATCCAGAATATGTTACGCGCATGAATCGCGGGATTCGAGATGCGATTTCCGAGGGATTTCCTCCATCATATGTACGAGATGTGATGCGTCTTTACATTCCCGCTCGCGAAGAGGGAGGGGACTTCTGAAGATACTGATGACGATGATTTTCTAGAGAATTTGAAGAGTTCAAATAGAGAGACGAGACAGGAAGATGGTTTGCACAGATAACCCATATTTTTATAGCATTTCAAAATTAAAAATCGCGTTGAACAAACCAAGTGCATTTAAAACGTATGTTTCTGTATAATTTGAATCATGATGATCATATCGGTTACTACCCTATATTTGTACACTTTGAAATCCCGCGACTTTTTCATACGTATCTTCCATCTTTCCATTTCACCCCCTTTGGATACATTGTTTCATAATGACCGCCTTCGTTTTTCATAACCTCCTAAAATGTACCTGCTTGCCACCAAAAGAAGAGATCAACCAGTGATGTCACAGTGCACTCCTCCCGTCATCCATGCGTCTATGTTATGTACCCTTATTATGCCTAAATCCATAGGAAGCATTGGGTATCGTGTTTCGTTACGACATCAAAAAAAGGAAAAGAAAAAAGAAAAGAAAAAAGAAAAAAAAGTGTACAAGAAAATGAATATGCTGAAAGTAGGAACTCCAATACGATGCAATTTCCAGCGCTTGCAATGCATTTGAAGCATATACTAACTTAATACAGGTGCCACAAAAGATTCATCAATGACTTAATCAAGTGATTGGGTTCAAAAATGGACTGAGTAACAGCTCGTCAGCACTTGGTCGTTTAGTGTGTTCAACTTCAAAAGTTGAAGCCAAAAAGATCTTTGCATCGGAGCTAGCTTCATCTGGTACCGTGGGACTGATTCTTGCACCACCAATCTTGAAGATGGCCTGGAGTTGAGAGCAATCAGGGAATGGGTGAGTACCTGTCATCATTTCAATGACAAGGCAGCCGAGTGACCAAATATCAGCTTTGCGTGTATAGGCAGTTTGTTTGACGACCTCAGGTGCCATCCAAAAGACAGAACCTTGTAGAGAAGGTCGATTCTTGTTGTTGCCAGGTCCATTGAGAAGATTTGATGCTTCAATCTTCTTTGAGATTCCAAAATCAGAGATTTTGATTCCACCCTTGTTGTCAACAAGGATGTTTGCACCTTTAATATCTCTGTGAATAATATCTTTACCATGGAGATAAGCCAAGCCAGTAACGATTTGTCGCACAAAACTTCGAATTAATGGCTCTCCCAATGCTCCGTAGGAATTAAGCATGGTTTGGACAGAGCCACCAGGGACATATTCGAGGAAAATGTTGAGATGGTTATCAGATGAGCTTGCTCCAAGGTACTGGACGATGTTGGGGTGCTGGAGATCACGAAGGAAACTAATCTCGCGCTTCAAAGCGTCGATCATACTCTTTTTGCGAGCATCATTTTTACTGTCTGTGCTTGGCGAAGGTGTCTCGACTTGCTTGACCGCAAGAAGTTCACCAGTGACAGCATGCAAAGCCAGGAAAACACTACCAAAGGAACCTTGACCAATGAGTGCACCCTTCATCCATTTACTGTCATCCCAAGAATCACCCTGCAGGAAACTCTCTAGTTCCTCATCTAATTCCTCTCCATCATTATTTAGAGCTTGGGTAATCTCTTTCAGAGAATCTCCAGCTTCTGTACTGCCATCTTCAAAATAGCTATCTCTCACGCTACTTGAATCGTCAGCAGTTACATTAACATTGGTAGTGTCAGATCCGCTGTCAGTCGCAAATGAGACGTAGGATTTGCGATTTGGTTCGGTTGGCGATTCTTCTTGAACGATGTCAAGCAATGAGGAAGCCACCGAATCTCTAAATCGACTACTAGTTGCCCTTGAAAGGTCCAATGGCCTTATTTTCGCTAACTGGCTATTGCCCATGAGCCAAGTATCGGCAATAGTTGGCATTGGAGGTGCATCGGCTACGCTCGAAGCAAAGCTCAAATTACTGGCAACGCTCAAACGACTGTTGACCTTACTAAGGCGAGTGGATCTCCGTAGCGAAAGTCTGGCAGTACGATCAATCTCTTCACGAGGATGGTCAGGGAAGTATGTCGTCAAATCTGATGTGATCAATTCACTTGGAGGCCTTTGTCCAAAGAAGTGGCGTAGACCACCACCTTTCTTACTCGCCTTCTGTCTTGAGCTCTCCCTCATGTCAGCTGGCAATGGCCTTTCAAGATCCTTCGCCGCGTTATAAACGTTACGTTCTCTCTCGGTAATAGACAAGTTGGATCCAGTGGATTGAAACGAGGCAGGTGATAGTGGATGCTGAAGATTGTCATTCCAGGTTTCTCCGAGCATTTTCTGAACTTTGAGTTGACTGCGCTTGTTATCGGATGTTTCAATGGCGCGGTTATGAGTTGTTGTAGCCTCCTCCAACGCGATGCTAGCGGCTCGCTGTAGCTCGTCGTCGCCAGGTTCACCTGCGTGTATCTTTCGCAGGATAAGTCTGTTTCTTTCTGCCCTCTTTTGATCTTTGATGATACGCCAAAGTTCAGCTTCTGGCAATCGACGGCATTGGCTAGGATCCGGATCAACACCAGCAAGAACCCAGAAACAATAGTTCCGATCATGATCCTCACGGTAGCCGAATTTTCTCAGAGTCAATCGCATCACCTCGTCACAAGAGCTACAATCTGCAACCTTGACCACCTTTGTGACACCCTTAGAAGATATCACCCTGATGACATCTTGGTTTGTTGGCAATGAGGCCATGAGTGAGCCGTCGATGCTGGGATTGGCTCGAGTATGACCGGTAGCTAGTCGAGCTATCTGTGGTTGTGTGGGATCAGATGGAGTGGTGGGGCGTCTTCCGGAAATAGTTGCAGCGCTGCCTGGTATGCTAATGTTACTTGAACCATTGAAGTATCCTTGATTTTGGTCTCGCTTCATTTGTTCTGCGGGGCTCATAACACCATATCTTTGTTGTTGTCGTACAGGTCGAACTTCAGAGTTTGTTAATGGTGAGACGGGTCGCGAAACTGCTTTGCTAACGTTCTCGGGGATCGCTGTAGCGGTATTGAATGTATCAAACTGCCTTGAGAATCTCTTATTGGTAGACGTAGACATGTTTCGACTTCCAGAGTTTGTGGGGCGAGGCGAACCAGAGGAAGATGGAGTGTGTGCAAAAGTATCCAAGGTCGCGAAAGAATCCTGCGATTGAATGGTCAATATCGATCCGCGACAATGAGAAGCAAACGAATACTTACCCTATTTCTTTTCTTCTGGTTGGCATATGCCTTCGTCCTGAGTTTCTTGATGCCCAAGAATAAACGAACGCGATCTCCTATCTTTTCAATGCCCATTTCCTGGAGTACTGCTTTGTCCATCTCCAAAAGATTCTCGCCGTTGATATTGTTTTTCTTGAATAACTTCTCATAGTCGCCACAGTTGATGCTTCTTAGCCAGTCGCCAACTTGATCCTCGTCCCATCTCTTCGCCGACTCTGGGCCATCAACATCTGAAAACTCAGATTCTGTCGGGCTCGCGAATGTTTGATTTGTGGCCAACATGGCGGGCGCTCTTCTACTCGATTGAGTAGTGGCTGTTTGTGAATTAGAAGAAAAGGAAGATGAGGACGGGCCCAGCGATGCGGGAAAGGGATTCTTTGAAGCTAGCATTGCCATTGCGTGGATGTCATTAAATAGGCATGAAGGTGGTTGATTAAATATGCGAAGTGGATTTGGAAAAGCAGGAGCGAATTGGTAGTGAAAGTGAATAAACTTGGCGAGATGATTATTTGCGAAAACCAGTCAGAAAATCTGAGGTCCGACGAATGAATATAAAGATCAGATGGCGGTTGTTTGTTTGGAAAGATTGAAGAACAAATGCTTCAAAGGGAGTGTCGATAGGTTGGCGTGAATTGAAGTGGTTTGGGACTTCTTTTTCTTTTTTAGGTAGGTAGGTAGGTCGGTCGGTAAGTACTTTATGTATGCGAATGAATGCTCAATTGCTCAATGATTGTGGTGCAAGGGATGTCGTTCTTCTTGTATGGTCGATATAGATCTTCCAGGATCTATTTGAATAAGAGTTTATAGATACAACACCTGGTAAAGATCTATCGAAGATTCGTGGATTGTGGAGTTGGGTGGGATAGAATTTAAAGAACAGACACCGAGAGGAAGGAGGTGGAGGCACTTGGAGGGTTGAGTAATACAAGGATGAAGTACGTGCGAGCGTGCCCATGTGAGTAGGGATTAGGGATTGAGCCAATCCGAGGTGGATTGTTGTTGTTGTGAATTAAGTTTGGAAGTGGGAGTGGAGAGGGTTGGAGGGAGGAGGGTTAGAGGGTTAGAGGGTTATCCAGGGAAGGCGTTGAGGTGAGTGAGGGTATGGAGTAGGTCGGTTGGTATTTCTCACTATTAAACGAGCAAGAGCAGAAAGAGAAGAAAGAGAATAAATAGATTCAAATAAAATAGGTGAAATGGAAATGGATATAGAATATAGAATTATTAATAAACTGCAAATGCTGCATACAATCTGCTGGATACTAGATCGGTATTGTACGTACGCTCGATCAAGGTTTTTATGAATAATGACCGACCGAATTCTTGGGTCTCTGTTTAATACCTCGACGCAAGTAAGGTCTGATTCAAGGTTCGACGCTGGATGAAGGGAGCGACGACTGGCTTCACCACGAATCCACGAATCCACGATATACGAAGTTTTATTAACCTCTTTTCTGAGACAATTATGGACGCGGCTGCCAAAGTAAGCTATCACGCTATGTTTTGTATGAGTGGATCCCAGGGAAAAAAGGGAAAAGAGGCGATGAGTGAGGACAGTCAGATCCCTTCTGATTTGCCTTGGGATGAAGATGAAGGGAACAAGGATTCAACACATATGTACATGCTAAGGCAAAGAGAGGGAAAGGCGTAATCAGAAGATTAACTCAATATGGTCAAGGGTCAAATGATTATGCATCTTTCAAGCCTTTTCCCAGCGAGAAAACTTTTATGATGCTGAGTGGACTGGGTAGATGGATACATAGCAGATACTCCGTAGATAGATAGATAGACAGACAGATACTTCGTAGATAGCTGTTGGTTTTAGTTACAACTAGCCTTACCGGGCA